GCAGGGCGAGTCCTCTTGAGGTCTTCCTGCTCCAAGTTGGCTTCACTAAAGCTGATGCTTTCAGACGGGTGACTGTCTCTCCCTCTCTAGGACACAGTTGTTGCCTTGCAAGCCTTAGCAAAATATGCAGCAAGGACGTTCAGCACATCAGGCCAGGCACTTGTGAGGGTGAAGTCCCAGACGGGCTTCGGGAAGGCTTTCCAAGTCAACCGCCAGAAGCGGCTGCTGGTGCAGCAGGCAGCACTGACAGAGGTCCCGGGGCAGTTCCTGGTGCAGGTCCACGGCAGCAGCTGCGTCTTCGCTCAGGTGAGGTGGTGGGACGAACATGGGAGAGAGGAGAGGTGGAGGACTCTGCCTGTTCCTGCAGGAGATCATGCCTGGCCTGTCTTTTCCCCTCCTGGTCCTCGCCCTGCAGACAGTGCTGAGGTACCACGAGCCTCCCCCGCGGGCTGCTGTAACCTTCACTCTGCGTGTCAACACAGAGCTGACCAACTGTAGCCGGGCCAATGCGCATGTCCTCACCATTCGCATCCTTGCCAGGTGACCCCAAGGGTTGTTTCCTCCTCCAGCAAGACCCGCTGTGCTTGGGGACAGCAGCCAGGAAAGCCTCAGGGCTGCAATGGAGGGACCTGGCACTTGGGGCGGACAGGACAGAGGGTGAATTTAGTGGGTGGGAAGGGTGGGGAAGGAAAGGGCTGGCTACCTTCTGCAAGAGGGAGCAGTGGCTGCCATGTCCCCAGTCCTGGATGGGCTGCCTGGCTCAGGGTACTGCACACAGGGTATGGTGGGGGGGGGGAAGGGGAGCACTATTCTCACAGAGTCAGACCCTCTGACTGCTTGTTCTTCTTCAGCTACATCGGGAGCAGAGTCACATCTAACATGGTGATTGTGGAGGTCTCCCTGCTGTCCGGATTTGTCCTGGCTCCCAGATCCAGGATGTTGGTAAGGACTTTGGAATTAAAAAAAGAAAAACGGCTGTGATGAATGGGTCCCACCTGCTTGCTCCTGTTGGGAACTGTTCACTTCAGGCCATGAAGTAACTAAATTAGCTGGGTCCCTTTGCTGTTGTAATTGAACCAAAACCTCTCATTTCCATACAGGGCCCACAAAGGTTGGCTACAGGACATCAGAGGTGGTTCAGCTTCTCCCACTGACACTATTCTGCCTTGGGCCAGGAACAACATGTGCTGCTGGGTGTGCTAAACACCAGGATTTGTTTGCCAGAAATTCTAAGACAAGATTTCTTAGAGAGACTCTAGTTCTAGCCAAAAAGATTATTTTTTTCCAATTAAGCCCTAAAACTGAGAGATGAATTATTTGCACAGCCCCCAGGCAGGTCTTTCAGAGCAGTCTAGCAGGCAGTGAGATGAGATAACCAGAATATTTACTGGTGCCTGCACCTGTTTGCTGACCAATGCATCAATCCTATATATTATCCACAAAACCTTTTGTCCCGAGGGTGGGAGATTCCTCTAACTGAGCAGGGACAGCATAGTCCATCCCTGAGATGCTCACAAGGGATGTCCAGCAGAGACTACCAAAGATATAACCACTAAAACCCTTATGCATGAGAAAGACACAGTTCCACACAGAGTCCAGCACCACATCATGCCTTCAATACAACAGTGGGTCCCTCAGGTCAGGAAGCCCTAAGGAAAGTGCTCACAAATTTCCTTGTGTTATTGTTTCCTATCCCAGCTGGAGCGCAGAACCATCATTAAGAAAATAGAAGTGAAAGCCAATGTGGTCTACATTTATCTGGAGAAGGTAAGTGGGAACAAAAGCATTTGGTTTAGCACAGCAAGAGCAAGAGGCCAGAGGACAAGGAGCTGTGTGAGAAGGCATGGGGAAAGAGCACTTATAGAACTATGGGCAGAGGAAGCTTGCCCAATTTCATTGTCATTGGGTTAGCATTCCTCACACATACTCCGTTTCTAAAATCCAGAATCTCTAATAGATTAGAGAGATTTAGTGCAGGAAAACATTCAAGCTAGGGAAGATGAAGATGCAATGACTTCTTTCTCCCCTTCCCTGCTAATTTTTTGCCACCTCCACAAGCTCAACGATGAATCTCAGAGTTTCATTCTGCAACTGGAACAAGTAATTCAGATGAAGAACCTGAAACCAGCCAGCATCAAAGTCTACGATTACTACCAGCCAGGTGGGTTGCAGATTCCTTCCTACTCTGGGGTTGGGAGCTGGGTTCCTAGTTCTCTGGCTGGGAAAAGACATGCACTCTTCTCTGTGTGCATGCATCTGTGTGTAATCGACTTCCTCATTTCCTTTTGCAGAGGAGCGAGCCTTGGCTGACTACAGTGCTGCCTGTAGTTGAGGTAGGCAGCAAGTCCCTGTATGACACAAACAGGGGCATCAGGAAATGATGGGTCTTGGGTGGGAAAGAGGGAATGTAAGCAATCAAAGATGGGAAGGAGAATGGTAATCAGTGGGGGACATATATCCAGCTAGAAAGAGGAACTGGCAGTTGCCTGTGGCCAGGTGTATGGAGCTAGGATGGAGGCTCTTTTGCAGCCAGGGAGGCAGCTGAAAGGCTCTGGTGGAAGGCAGAGACAAGGACAGCATCTCTCAAAATGAGAGTGAGGAAGGAAGGGCTGAGCATCACGTCGAGTGAGAATGCAGAGCTATAGCAGCCTGTGCTAACAAGGGCCCTCAGACCTGGACATGGGTCCATTCCCTCCACCCCCCATTATATTCATTACAGGATAGGAAAGGGGGATTTGGGGAGCCAAAAGAGCAAGCTGAAGCTGGGAAGATGTAATATTTTGTCTTGTGGGGTGACATACACAGCTGCCAGAAGGGGGGTGGCTTGTTAGTAGTAGCCTGAAGCCAGGACAGGTCTGGAGAAGTCCTTTCTGGAAGGATAAGATAGAATCTTGACATGGTACATGGTGCATCCTGACCATCCCACAGAGAGAGTGCTGCCTAGGGACCTGCCTAGAGACTCACCCCTACTACTAGCCGAGACACAGCCTGATGATAACCATGGAGGGACTGGATCATGCCCTCCTTGTTTGTCTTACCTTCTGTCCCCACAATTGCACATGGTTCCTCAGAAAGGGGTGGAGGAGCTACCAAATTTGTGATAAAGGAAAGGAGAGGAACTGCCACACCATGACTCCTGCCTTTGCCCAATATTTCAGGTTGGGCACTAAATGGAAGGAAGTGCCTCAGCAGGGACACAGCCCACATTAAAGTTGAGCCCACGTGGTCCTGTGCCTGAGTGGATGTACTCAGGGATCACAGCAGTTCAGCAGTTGTGCCTGCACTGTGAGGGCCTGGGGTGGGACGGGGGCGTGTCACATATCTGGTACACACCTGGGAAGAAGAATTAAAGTAAACATGACCCCTGACCTTGCCGCCATTGTGCCAGTTGTTGATGAACTACAGGATAGCCCATGAAGATACCATTTCTGCCATTGCCAATGTACAGACCTTCTAGCTTCTCTATTGTCTCTCCTCATATTTCCTATGGTTTCTCCTAATACTTCCTGCAGTAGGGCTCAGGCAGCTTTGGAGTATAAGATGCAACTGAACATGCTGTGACAGCTGTATCTCCTGTACCCTTCCTGCAAGCTCCTGTGCCATCAGCTCTTCGTTGACGCAGTCTCCAGATAGTAATACAGTGCATTGAGACTGCAGCCCCTCACCCACCCCTCAGCAGTACAGCCTTGCCAGTTCCTCTTGATAAAGGTCTCTAAATGCAACTGTTGGCCAAAGGAACTGATGAACATATCCTAGCCCTCCCTTGCCTTCAGCTCCAGCTTGTGTGATGGTCACCTCCCCCAGGTACCAACTCTGCCTTGGTGCGTGCTCTACTTCCTCCTGTGCACATCCGCTACTGGAGGGGAAGAGTTTTGCACGTGTACATGTACATGCACATACAGAGCAGAGGTGAAGAAGTTATTTTTCCCAGATGCTCTTAAATGCAGTTTTCCTGGTTTGGGAGAAAAACAGTAAACCTCAATAATCACTCAATCAGACAGTTCTAGTCCCCTGACTTTTAATAAGATGCCAGGCACAGTCAGAGCCTTTCAGAAACAAACTGCTCAAAAAAAAACATGTGGTGGCTGTTGGCGGGGTGACAAAAGACTGACGGACAGAGACTGCAGAGGATGGGTCTGTCCCTGTTCCTGTGAAGACAGCAAAGGACAAAAAAAATCTGTGTTCCTGAAGTATTAAGACTAACCACTGGGAACTCAGGGGTTTTTTTGCACCTCATGACCAAACGGGACTGCCAAGCCATCAAGGACAGGGCTCTCTCTGCCCCTACCCATACAAAGCCTATGGCAGAATCTCCACTAAGCGTGTGGGGCTTGTGGCAGGCATCCCAGGGCAGGGCTGTGTGCCTCCCACAGGTGATTCATGAAGCAGGTGTTTTTCTCCATCTCATGGGCTGTGGGCAAGGAAGTACACAGATGCAAGCAAAGTTTAGAACAGGAGCAGGCACTGGTCAAGTTCAAGCTTTGCCTTTGCCTGGCCTGGAAAGAGGATGGGCAGGTGCCCGTTCCCTAGCATGGATCAGAAGCCAGGCTGAGACTGTGAAAGGCTTGGCACTGAAAAGGAGCCAGGCTCTGCAGTAAAGGTGAACGTGGCGTGTTTTGTGCACAGGGCTGGAGGGCTGTGGAACTGCAGGGACAGTGCCAGGAAAAGGAACTGTGTTGACTTGAGGAAAGTATGATGCAAAATGATGACGCAAAATGCCAGGACTGGTGGTAGGACTCGGGACAGGCAGTCCTTGTTTTCTGTAACGTGCCTCCAACTCTGTCATGCTGGCACCTCAAACCTTCCACTTCACTTCTCCCTGTCCTTCAGTTTAACCACTGGGATACAGGAATGCACCTTTACTCTAGCATTGCTAATCACTTCCCTGAACATGCAGTCTGGCAAGTTTCTTGACCAAGGGCCCTTGCCTGCATCTCCCGCCCTCTCCATACTCTTCAGGACCATACCTGTGATGACAAAAGAGGTGTTGGGCCGTCACCTCACTCGCACGGGGCACTGTAGCTCATCACTGTAGTTTCTTCTGGAAGATGAGAAAAAAAGTGCTGGTGAGATACACTTGCCAAAAACTCACTAAAGCAACCCAGCATTGTGCCTCTGTTTCTAGGGGAGGTGTTCCCTCAGCTTACAAGCCATGACTCCCCTCAGCTGTGATACATGAAACCACTGGTATGTGTCAAAGACTCTGTGAGCAGCTAGTCTGGATTCACCCAAGTCATAGGGCTTGTGATCTTTTGAAGCCATAAGTCCCAAACAGCTCCGCTACAGTTATGGATTCCTCACTTTCTGAAGCAATAGCAATCCCTGATGCATTTCTAACTTTTCCTCCCATTAGGGACCCCAGATAACAGAGGACAAGGTGTTTTCAGTGTCATTCTTCTAAGGGGGCCCTCACTCTTCTAAGCCATCCCCTCACTATGGTCCCTCTGCCTTTGCTGCCTCCCACAAAATCATTGTACAAAAGCACAGCTCTGAGTTCCTTGCTCCCGTCTTGTTGGGAGAGTTAGACACTAAGTGGATCTACATGCCAACTTCAAGCTTGCAAGTTCTAGGACCAGAGAAAGAAGGATCTACCATTCTGAAACCCAAGCGGGTAAGTCCATCACTAGAGAGCTGCTAAGGGACAGTTAGACAAACATGTCAGGGATAGTATTGTCTTAGACTTGACAACTTCAGAAAATTTCTTTACAGTGGTACATTTGGGTTGTTTCTGCAGTACAGCATCTGAGCTCACCTGGCATGTAGTAATCATAGACCTTGATATTAGCTGGCTTATGGTCCTTCACTTGCATGTCCTGCTGCACCAGCAATGTGTAGGTGTGAGGCTGTCTAGTCAGCTAAAACCAAGAGATGCAAGGATTACAGCCAGAATCAAAGTCTTGTAAGACAATCCCTTCCACCTGCTCTCACTCAGGCTCCGTGGAGACCTCACCCCTGTGACAGATCTGTTCTGCTTTCCAGTCCATCTCAGAAATATCTTTTACTTCACATTTCGTGGCCATCTCCCATTTTTGGTCACCAAATTTAACTCAGCTCGTGAGAGACACCAAACCCACAGAGTCAATGTGCATTAAGTATCTAAATGTAGCACTAGGGTTCCCAACCAGTCCTACATTCCCATCCAGCCCTGCTCTGAGCTCCTTCATGCATCTTGTCCCAGTGGCTACTTTCTTATACACAGTACCATTACATCAGCTCTTATTTTCCAGTCTCACACAACCCTCATCATTAAGCAGACAAATGCAAGGTGTGCATGAACATCTGCTGGATGGTAGTAGTTACATGACCTGCTGTGGATTGGGTTCCACCTTGTGCTACCTGGCAGCCTGAGCTGAAATCTTGCTCTGTGCTGTAGATGTAACGAAAGCAGCATCTCTGCAAGTCTAACGCATCCACATGACAATAACCCGCTTACTATGAAGCTAGCTTAGCTCAGCTCATTCACAACTGAGGATGAAGAATCACAGAAATGTAGAAGTGCTCCTTGCAAATTCTGAAGTTTTAAAATTCATGCCAGGTCTTGTTTCTGGTGCTGTTAGGTATGCCTGTAGCTAGAGAAAGGCTGGAGTGGTTGTTAATCTGTTCATTAATGAGGAGCAAGCACTGCTGCTCACACAACCATCTGGTTTAATTCTGAGTGATCTTGGCAAACTCCATGAGCAATCTTGGATGCTCCCTACTACATTCAGGCTGCTTAAGGGCTCTCTAAGAATTCAGGCTTGCTTGAATTTACTAGATGTATCCTACTACTACTCCCCAATCCTGATTAGACACTGCATATGGACTTTCAACAGTCTCTGAACAGTACCAACAGATGTAGGCTTAACATCAGAGTTAGCCTCATTTCAGTCAAGTTAAGTGGCTCTACAGCTGAGCTACTGCAGGCTGGCACAGCACACTTCTCCAGGTCAGCAAATGTGGCTGGTATGCAGGAACAACAGCTCTGGATACTTAAAATACTAATGGAACCGAGATACAGGAGTAAGCTAAAAGCTATCCGCCAGTCCATAGTCCTTTTAATGAGGATGTTTGTTAGACTAAATTCCACTCACTTCCTCCAGGTAGAGAATGACTCGGTCAGCTTCACTTTCAACTTTCTTCACTAAAGGCATTGTCTTTAGCTGAAAATATGGGAAAAAATGTCAGAAAGACTCTAACAGAAAGGAGAAATATTCAGGGGTATTTGTCCTTGTGAGAGCATGGGCAAAATGTTCACATGGCCAAGGAAGCCCTTGGGGTAGGGGAAGGCAAAGTGCAGCCTGAAGAGGCTTCGGGTATAAAGCTTCCTTGGGAAGAAAAGAACTGTGTCTCTCTGTCCACAGGAATGATCACAGTTCTGCATACAATCCTGCATAATGGACATCCATCACTGTTACCATCCCAGCTGGACACAAACTCACGGTCTCACCTCTTCCAGTGAACCTGCCACGGGGCTGTATCCAGACAGCAATTCCACTTGGATCAGGACCATGTTGGTGGACACACGGTTCCCTGTGTAGCTGCAGCAGGAACCCAGGGGACAGCACTAATGTTACTTTCTGAGCCATGATCTCCAGATACTCCAGCCCAGCTTTGGTATTCAGGTGGAGGAATCTGCCTTTCCTTCCAGTGTTTCTCCTGTAAGCATATCTGTTCCTGTACTGTAATAAATCTTTGTGCTTCCCCGATCTCTCTTTTAATTGTGCTGAGCCAAGGAGAATAAATTTCTGGAGTTAGCTTCTCTAGGCATGGCAGGGAATATTACATCCTCTGCCTGCTCTCTTGGCAGTTCTGTCCCAAGTTGGGCAGAAGTACAGCAGAGGAGAGTGGTGTGACAGTCAACAAGGAGCAGAGGAGGAAAGACTTAGGAATAAATGTCAGCAGTCAGTCTCACAGGACCTTCATATCAGTAGTGTTTTGAGACCTAATCCTAGAAGGGGGTGAGACCCATAGACCTTGGGAGAACTTGTGGTGACTAGCATGATAGCGAGATAGGACTATAGCCTGAGACATCTCTCTGGGGCCTTATACCTTTCACCCAGCTGAGGAGATCATAGTTAAATGAATGGGGACATCTTAGCACTTGGACCTCATGAGTGAAGGGGAATCCTGGCCATAAAGAGACTGGTGTGGTGCCAGAAGCCTCTTAGCACAGGGGAGGCAAGGGGCAACTGAGTGTCTCCTACCGCGCATGAATGGTGACAGGGAACTGGGTGGCGTTGGGTGCAGTGCACTCTGTCTGCACTGATACAGCAAAGGTGATGTCGCTCCGCGGTGGAGGGATGTGGTACCGCAGAATGGCCTGCCAGGACAGAAAGAAACTGGTTGGCAGAGAATAACAGTTTTGCTTTGTTTTGTTTTGTTTTGTTTTTTTTCTGGAGAGTATCTTTGTCTAGCATTTGGCTGCTGTTTGCTGTCTTGCACTGGTGTAAGAGCAAACTATGTGGCAGAAGCAGAGGTTCTGCTAGTGCTGCTCCTGGGGGTGTTCACTGGACTTCTTGGAGGAGAGGTGCAGCTCTGACTGGGTGGAGATGATCCAGATTTCATTTGGGGAATTGCTATTCCCTTCCTGTTGGATCCCAGCTACTCTTACCAGCCTTGAAGCCCAGATTCTTGCAAGTCACTGCAGCAGTCTGTTTTCAAGTAGCAAGGTCAGAGGTCCCCTGACTTTCAAGGCTTTTCCCCAGACAGACCTTTTCTCCCTGGCTGGACTTACCTGCAGGAAGAGGCACCCATGGCCCTGCACACGCACAGTATAATCTCGGGGAATGGCTGGCAGCTCCACTGTCTGCAGCAGGAGGCGATTGGTGTTGTCTACTCGGATGTTTTGATTGAAACCCTCAGAGGAGAGAGAAACCTGAAGATCAGGGCCATCCTTGCTGAAGGTCTTGGTTGCATACAGGGCTAGGGCTTCCAGAGCAACCACTGTGTCCTGAGGAAAGAGACACACATTGAGTAAAATAGGATCCCTGCCTTCTGTGCATGCCCAGTCCTTAGCCTTTTCCTCCTTCATACTGCAGCTACAACACAATAGGGGTTGAGGTTTCCCCTTGGTCCTTTAGCATGGGATTAGCTCAGAGGAATACAAATATTCATCTTTTCCCAAATCCCAGGAGCTGTAAATCCATACATCTTTTTTTCTTCTTCTTCTTTTTTTTTTTTTTTCTTTTTTACTATGGGCTGTGCTAGAACCCATTGCTCTCATAAACCATAGCTGATGGCAGGTTATCTGCTGATGCTGGCTCGAGGATTACCTGGGTTGAAGCAAAGCCTCCATAAGGGTTTTGCTGCTTGGTGAGCCAAGACACAATCTGGGATGCCTTTCTGATTTCATCTGAAGACAAACTTGACTTTGAAAGATGAGCCATCAGGATACTAGATGTCAATTCCACATCAACAGATGGAGCCCGATACCAATATAGGGAGCCTTCTTCCTGTTTGGACTGTTGACTCCAGAATATTTGGTCACCTAGAGGTGGAGTGGGAACACTTATGGAGTGTGTCGCTGTATCTAATGACCTTGGAGTCCTACTCAGCCCCTGTGCCTAAGTAGTGAGTGAACATGTACAGTGGGACAAGATACGGGTGCGTATCTCCCTATTTGCCCCCCACACCCTGCTTTTCCCAGTAAAAACCTAGACCTGCAGGCTGGGAAGGAGCTCTACAACATCCATGAAGCTCCTCTGGTTTGGATGACTGGGAGAACCAGGATTGTCAGATCATCCATAGAGAAAGTCTGTCTCACAGTATGAGTATAGCCTGTGACAGCTTGGCAAACAGAGGCTATCCAAGCCTTGGGCTCCCCACAGAGCTCTGCCAGTGCCCCCTGTCCTGCCCTCCATTCCCTTGGTCGTTCAGCCCTGGGATCTCCACACAATTCTGTCAATGGCCCTATCTCCTGCCACACAGTCTTTGGTACCTGATATTATGGCGGCCTTGTCCAATCTTTTGAGGATTTTCTGCCTGAGGGCCTTATCACCTGCTACTGCAAAGGCGTTTGCAGCTAGTGCCAGGCTGTAGAGGTTGGAACTGCCAATATCAGCATCGACCAGGTCCTTTATACATTTCAGAGCTTTCCACACAACTGGGTCCTAGGGTACAATTGAAAGCATACTGGTTGCTGGCAGGGTGTATGGGGAGGAAATGGAGCCTTAATGTGTGCAGAGGAGGGTGGAAACAGGGACAGGACGCATGGGGAGAAAACTGGTAACATACCCCTGTGTGCACAAAGGCAGAGAGCGCCAGTGCACTGCCTGCCGAGAGGCTGCACACACAGCCCGTCCCTGCTGCCGATACTCACGGAGCGTGGCATCCCTGAGTGTATGAGAGCTGTGATGATCGCAGAGCTCAGCCCCAGTCCTTCCTCCACTGCACCCTGCAGCCACCACAAAAACAGAGAAGAGGAGGGCTGCCATAAGAAGGGAGAGGGAGAAGTTTTCCAGTGCCTTCTGCTCCCCAAGCGAAAACCAGCACAAGCAACAGTGCTGGTCCTATTCCTTCTGCTGAGGAAGTGCCAGGGCTGGTATCTACTCTTGCAGATCCTGCTTACCAGAGCACTTCTCAGCCATGGTGCCCCAAGCTCCTCTGGGTAGCTGATTCCCTCCCTCTGCTGAACACATCCCCCTTTCCCCTCCCCTGCAAAAGATTTTCAGTAGCAGATTTCAGTGCCAGGGGAAAGTGATGTTCCCACAACTCTGCTGAAAAGTGGCACTTCACTTGAGGGCCAGGACAGTGGCAAGGGTATGAAGGAGGAAAAGAAAAGGTATCTTTTGCAATGGGAAGTGAAAAGTACCGTTCTCTTCACTTAGAGAATTAATTATCGGAGGTCCTGTCCACCAAACTGCTGCTGGCTCCACTTTGGTGGTACTCTATGTGTGTCTGTGCATGCACAAGTGCTGTGTTTCTGAGTGCATAGGGCACATGCCTGGCAAGGTGATTGTCACATGAGTGGCTGCCATCAATCTTCATTCACTCCATTTCTGACTCTCGCTGTCAGGGGGAACTCAGACTGAAGGAAGAAACGGCAGCTCAATAATGGAAAGGAAGCTAAAGCCATTTACCAAGGGCTTGAAAAACCTTTTGTTTTGGTTTGCTTTGTTTTGTTTTTTGCGGCATGTGTTAACTTTTCAGATGGGGCTAGGGCAGGGCACTGGTTTAGTTCCCATGCGTGTATCATCAAATGCAAACCTCAATCATTCATAACTTGAAAAAGTGCCACCATGACTAAGCACAACCCTGAGTGTCACCCAAGGGTGACCTTGGGCACATCAGAGCCTCCCTCCTGAAGCAGGGTTCGTTTCTTCTTGGCACCCAAATTGGGCCAGAAAGTGAAGGAGCTCTGAGGTACCTCATGACCAGCCAGGACATGTCATACCATCAGACCATTGTTGAAGAGCTTCCCCACACTCTTGAAGCAGCCAGATGGAGTCTGACTTTTAATCAGGGCACTGGCAGCATCCTTTATATTCTGCTCATCTATGTGGATGAAGTCCCGGGCTTGGCTGAAGGTCTTGAGGACAAGGGCAGTAAGCCTAGAGCCAAGGAAAGGAGAAGAAAATCGAACTGAACCAGTCACTGATGCCCATCTCCAGTAGGAGACAGGAGTCTCTGTGTCTTCCACTGTCTCATCCCTGGAGAAATACCAGCAGGCCAGAGCCTCTGTGCAGATGGAGAATTGGAAGCAATGCACATGAATTAGATGCTCTTGAAGCTCGAGCTCAGATCCATTTGCAGCAAGAGAGAAAAAATTCACCGACAGTTCAGTGCTTCCCCCAGAGCTCTGCCAATTCCAACAGGGTGCATTTGTGTAATTTAAAGCCAGGAGGGCTGATATTTAGTGAGCTCACTCAGACCCTTTCCCAATCCTGTTTGGGCACAAAACACTACGGAAAACCTGGAAAGAAGGTGTCTTTGCAGCCAAGTTTTCAGAATCAGCTTCAGTTGGGGTCCCCAAGCACAAACAATCAAACTGAGGTACCTCAAGCCAGTTCATTGGCACAGTTCTCTTCCAAAAAGTCTCAGGAGCAGTTTCTGTTTAAAACTCCACACCTCCAGACTCCCTCAGTTTCCCAGACCAAAATCCAAGTCAGCTTGAGCCTGATGAGGTCAAGCTGTTGTTCCTCAACTGTGTCTGTTTAACATATGCTTACCATGTGTTCCCTGGCTCGCTTCCTTCCCCAAAGGCACTGTATGAGCCATCTGTGTGCTTGTAGAGGAGTTGCCGCTGATATCCTGTGGGAAGAGGCTGAGGTAGTGAAGATGCTCTTTCATGTGCTCAGGGTGACAACCTGCTCTGCCAATCCTGCTGATCATTCTAGAGAGCATTGTCTCTGAGGAGTTCACCAAAGGGCTTCCAGGGGGGTGCCTCGTACTCCTTGCTCAGCTGAGACACAGCAGCCTGATTTACGCTGTTGTAATTCCCATGGTGTCAGGCAAGTGATGCTGCACTAATCCTGTTCAGCACCAACCCTCTGCTGAGATCCCCACCGCACAACGTACTGTAGTGGACATCACCAGCTTAATAACCCAAAATGAGCAGAAATCCACTCACCGCTTTCCAGATAGCCAATTGCCTTCTGTTTGATTTCTGGAGTCAGTTGTCCTGTTTCTTCAAGGTATCGTGTGATAAAGACATTGGGGGCAAAATGAACCATGTTCTGCTCACCACAGCCACTGGACATCTGGAGGAGCTCATCTATGTTGTTCAGTGCTGTCCCCAAAATGTCACCTGTAGGACAGAACCACAGCTTGGGGAGCTTTACATATTCTTGCATATAAAAAATTTCTGGTCTCACCGATTCTCCAGATGATAACTTTCTAAGATTGATCTCAGTTCATCTCTGCTCACACTAGGGTGACTTTAATGTCTATAGAGCCCTGTAGGAACAGTGATATGGTATTTGTCTGTCTTTCTCTTGGCTGGGTGGAATTATATGTCCATCTGGCCCACTTGTACAAGAGAGATGGGATGCTTCTCTGGAAGACATAAGGGCCCAGTATCACACTTCACTGTACATGTTCTCTCGTTAGTCTGCTTGCTAAAGCAGACATGGTGGCACCAGAAGAAAAGACTCCTGCAGGGAAGAATCTTACTTTCCAAGACGCCCCTAAATCTCACCTAAGAAAGAGATGTGGGCTCTCTCCGATCCAAGGACCGTGTTCTCTGGCATAGTGAGAGTGATTGTCTCTGAAGCTGAAGTTCCTGCAAATGGAAAAAGCATCAGAATAACAGGCAGGAGGGAGACATCAGACCCATAGGCATTCCCAGGAGATGGTGTAAACAAGGCTGGGATCACCTCATCAGTTGGTGAAATCAGCATTCAAGACAGGATGACACAGACAGACATCAGGCCACCCACTGATGAGTGACTGTGATGTGGTTAGGCAGTGCCTTGGTGCTGTCAGGAGCTTGTAGTACTGGGTAGAGCTGAATGCCTCCCCATAAAAGCTCCAAAATCCCTGCCTTTGCCTTCCCCATGCACCTCCAGATAGTCCTAGAGTTGTTCACACACCACACTGCTTCTGTTTGGTCTCCTTGCTCTGTGTACATGTACAGCCCCAGTGGTAAGACAGTCTTCGTCTCTGGGGAACCTGCACCTACCTTTAGGGCACAGGAGTGAGGTGTGGGTCTTTTCCTCCAGCAGCCCCTCTGCCTGGTGAGGAAAACGCTGGTCAGCTCAGAAGTGAGACCAGTAAAATGAGATAGCAGCTGCGCAGTACCTCACCTTCCTGCAAGCACCTTTTCCATCCTCATGGGCCATGCAAAGGGCCTCACACAGACAGCAGGGATATGCGTGCTGACAGTGAAGTTTCACTGGGAAGCAGGTTTCTAAGCTGCTACATGGCCTTTGCCGCATTGCCCTGCTAGCAAGCTGTTCTAACGACTCTGTCCCATCGAGTGGAGGTGCTCAGCTCATGCCCCGACCCAATCTGCCCTTAGAATCACTCTTTGACCAACCTCCCTGAGAAATGTGCCTACCTGCCTGGCCAACCCTCCCTTCCCAGAGCCACCCACCAGGCCATTTTGAGCCTGACCTAGTTCCAACCTCGCCAGGACCCCGAAGCATACTCTGACCTTCACCAGCAGGTGTTTAACCACTGTGTCCTTCCCTCCAGACTCTGGCACAACAGCTGTACTCTCAGTGCAAACACCTTCCTGCTCCATCACCTCAGCAGTGACAGTGAAATTCACCTTCCCTAAAGAACAAAACATCAGAGGCCAGCTGGCACATTCATGCCTATGTTTTGGTTTGCTCAGCCTAAGGCTGCTCACTCATGCTTTGCATAATAGGCCACTCTCCCTTCCAGCCCAGCTCTGGTTTCCTCAAGCAGCTCTGCCAGTGCCTCCCGCTCCTGTCCCTCCCTTGTCCCCTTACCTAATTTTGTAGCCTTCACATCCCAGAAAAATGTTTTTGCTGAATCAGGACACAGACAAATAGTGAACCTGACATTTGCATGCACAAATTCAAAATCCCTGGAGTCCATTAGGCTAAGCTGGAGCTAGAGGAGAAACAAAAGGGAGTTTGGGTTACAGAGCTGCTGCTGTGTTTTTCCTTTCAGCTCCTTGATCCAAATGTGAGTCAAGCCCAGAAGCCCAGGGTGAGCATGATGATGGCCCTGTTGCAATATCTGTGGGACACCAACAGCCCATGGGCATTGCAATCCTGTAGGGTTGAGCTTATGGGGAGGGATACACTAGATAGAGATGGCTCTGCATGGAGCTTTGTGAAGAGCTTCCTTGGTGTCTTTTGCTCCGTGCCTGAGGAGGCAGCCCCTTGTCTGGGTCTCTATCAGTGAAGTACTGTTACCACACAACCCCCTGCCCAAAAACCATCCTGGAGGGAGCCACTCACCACCATGCACTGCTTCAGGTAGCTGAAGACTTTGACTTTCAGGGGAAATGACTCTCCCCGGAAGACAGAGTAGGGCAAAGTGGGTTCCACGAAGAAGGGCTTGAAGCTTCGCAGGCTGGTGGTCTCTGAGATTCCCAACCCATGGCTCTCTGAGGTGCAGAAGGTCATGGCTCTCCAATCTGTGATACTGTCAGGTACTGTGACAGCTAGCTCAGCAGCCCCTGAATCACTGATAAGAAAAGAGAGTGGAAGGGGTTGTCCCATCCCTGTAACGATTCCTCTTAGGAAGACAAATGCAGAAGGACTATGAACTGAAAATGCGTGTGAAGGTGTGGGGATTCCTAGGAAGTAGGACAGAGGTACAGGAAGGATAGCAAATAAGTGGGCAAGGAAGAACTGAGAGGCAAATGCAAACCAAAATTTCTATCTGAACAGTGTTGCACCTCAAATTCTTGTTTTGCGTGGGCACACAGGGCTCCCAGGGTCCATGTTATACACCCAGCCTGTGCCAGGGAGTACTGTGTGACACTTCCACCACACTACCACCCAAATTCCTAAACGCAGCTCAGCAGTCATCATTATAAGTAAGTGTCACTTACAGATTTGCATACACAAAATGGAAGATGGTCCCTGCCCTGAAATGGGCATAATCCAGCCAAATGAGATGAGTTGGAGAACATTGGCACATGGGAGAATTAAGAAAGCTGAGATGTGTGTGAATAACAGGGAGAACAGTGGATGTTGCGTAACTTGACTTTAGCAAGGCCTTTGACACAGTCTCCCACAGTATCCTTGTAGCCACATTAGCGTGGACTGGACAAGTGGATGATAAGGTGAGCAGAAAATTCGCTGGACCATTGGGGACAAAGGATGGTTATTGGTGAGACAAAGTCCAACTGGTCGCTGTTTACCTGTGGCATCCCTCAGGGACTGATACTTGGGCCAATACTGCTTGATGGCTTTATTAATGACCTGGATAATAGGAGAGAGGATATCCTCAGCAAGATTAGCAGACTAATCTTGCTATGTATTAGGAGACTATACCTTGTTGGGGAGGGGTTCCTGATATGCTGGAGGGAAAGGTTGCTATTAAGAGGAACCTTGACATGCTGGAAAAATGGGGTTGAAAATGGGTAGATTCTGTATCTGGGTTGGAATAATACCATGCAACAGTACAGGCTAAGCAGTGACTGGCTAGTAAGCAACTTTGCAGAAAAAGAGGTTGGGGTCCTGGTGGATAACAAGTTGAGCCTGAGACATCTCATGTGCCTTTACAGCAATGAAGGCCATCTACTTCTGAACTGTATTAAGAAGACTGCAACCACTGGGTTGAGAAAAGTTATTTTTTCCTTGTATTCCTCCATTGTGGGACCACGTCTGGTGTACTGTGTCCTATTTTTGCCTTCCAGTATAAGAAAGTTACTGACATACTTGAATGCATCCAGTGGAGGACTGCCAAGATGGTCAGAGGGCTGGGATCTGTGATGTACAAGGAATGGCTGAAAGAACTGGGGATTTCAAACTTAAGAGGGAAAGGCTAGGGGGAAATCTTTCAGCTTTCTAAAGCTACCTATTGGGAAGGTGTAGAGACAATGGAACCAGTCTCTTCTGAGGTGCATATTGATGGGATGAAAGATAACAGACACAAGATGGAACATGGGAAATTCTGACTTAAGATAAGAAAAAAAATACCATGAGGATGGTCAAACACTGGAACAGGTGCCCAGATAGTTTGTGGAATCTCCATCCTTGGAGCTACAGAGACCTTGACTACAACCTGATCTAACTGGATGTGCCTTGCACAGGATGTTGAGCTACAGAACTTTGGAGGCCTCTTCCATCCTATAGCAGTCTATGATTTTAAGTTCCCCAGAATCATTTGGAAAATCTCAAGCAAAGCCAGGAACTGAACCAAACCTCCATTGTCCTTATCCACTTCTTCACACCTCCCTTTTCTTTGTGGGCACAAAAGGCAATAATGTCCTGGCTCTGCTCCTGCCCATTCCCTCTCTGCTATGGCTGGTAGGAGGTCTGGATTCATGTGGGGCCACAGCCCATAATTACTCACTTGATGGGAACCAGACTCCAGATGAATGTCTCTGGAAACCAGGTACGTACTGGCCCTGCCTCGCTACCCAGCTCAACATGCTCTGACTCAGCACGTTCAACAGCAGCATCTGTTTCTGGGTCCAAGTTGTCCAAGTCTTCCAGCTCGCCATAAGCTATTGGGAATACAAGCATTCATTCAAAGGCAGAGCAATTATGAAATCAGGATAGAGTTCAGCTGGGAAAAGCTCAGCTCTCCATCTCTCCTCCCACTCCCACTCCGATCTCCCTTGTGCTCTCCAAGATGCCCTCAACCTACTTCATATTGTCTTCCATGAGACAACCCAGGAGACCATGTGGATTCCAGTATGTGTGTGCTCCCCCATGAGGAACTCTACCTGCTCACACTTTTGCTCTCAGCCCCTGCAGAAAGGCCTAGATACAGCCCAGTGCCAATCCTGGCTCATTTTCTGGTTTCCAGCAAGACCTTTCCTAGTCTCACAAACAGATGTTCCTTCCTGAGACAGCTGCCTCATTTCCCCCCTTGACCATATTATCTTCCTGCCTGCCAGCAGAAGCTTCCAAGCAGGTTCTTCCTATGCAGCCACCCCTCCAGTGCACTGGACACACACACACATCAGTACCCTTCCCCTCTTCCTGTGGTGCACATCTCCTGTGCAACCTCCCACTCATCTCTGGAAGCCATGCCCAGTTCCTCAGCACACTGCATGTTCAGCTGCCCTTGTGCAGCCTGTATGTTACCCGTGATTTCCAAAGAAACAGGATAAATCGAGATGTACACATGTAGTCGTAGTAGAAAGTGGTCTGGGTGCGGCACTCAATTGGAGACTTGATTTTAAGGCTGGTTAAAAATGTTAGACCTGAATTCTGGAGGAAAGAAGGGGAAGAAAAGAAGGTAGATTTCAGTGGAGGGGGTTGTGTGTCTGAGGGTCTGTCTCTGCTCCCACCTCCCAGCATATCAGCCACCCTGTGTTGTTGCACCTGTGAATTTATAGAGGGAGCGAATGTAGAACGACCCTGCTCCCAAAGCCCGGTCCTGGCCCCTCACGCCAAAGGAGGCTCTCTCCAGTCAGGACTGTGGGGGTGACAACTTGCATGTGATGCTCACACACAAAGTCACTATTTTGGCACCACAGTTTGCTGCCCACCCTAACACAGACTTGTTCTCATCTTTCACCTGCTATTCCTTTCTACTATTCTTTCCCTCTGTTCCCCAGTCCCCCTTTTCTCTCAAGTGCTTTGCTTTTCCAGCCTCCAATTTTCTCTGACTCAGGCTGACATTCCTCTCTCCTTCCAGTCCCTAGAAAGTCTGAGGGTCTCAAGCTTAGGACAAATGGGGAGTTGGGTTCTAGGGATCTGCCTGATCAATGGGAAATTATCAAGCTAGCAGCATGGAGTGTCAGAGAGCTCTTAGTTCAGAAGCTTGGCAAATTCAGAACCTGACGTTGCCAGCCTTTACAAGAAAGACAATCTGTGAAGCTATGCAGCACTGACCTGGGGTACAAAAGGGCTCAGCTCTGATATTTTGGGTTTTCTGGAGATTAGATTTACCTTCAGAAGTTCATAAACATCTGGTTGGGACACTGCATAAGTGTATCTGTTGTACATGAATGGTGACATTGTTCCCGGTGGAAGGGTGGTCTGAGGGGAACCAATGATTCCTGGGCTCTTGTGGATAGTACAGTAGTCACTGTAAGAGTCTGTGAGGGTGCTGGGGTGCTCCTGAGAATAGCTGAACATATTGTACACCTGTAGACAGAGAATGAAAACAGTACAGGTCAGTGTGAGGTGGGAAGTTTTTCATTTCTATCCAGAGATTTTCTGTAACCGCAGAGGCAGAGTTCAGATCCTGCCAGCCACAAAAGCCCAGACCCAAAGGTTTTTTGAGCTTCATGGAAAGCCTTCACAAGTTTCAGATCAATAGCACCAGAGATGAACATGAACCCCTCTGGTATGGCTGGGGATCGGCTGCATAGCTGTGGCCACTTCTAGCTCATAGTTGTACCTGTGAGCTCAATGCATACAGTGAGGAAACCTTCCCTGTAAGAGTCATTAGATAGCTTCTTGTCTGACTGAAGGCATACCCTGGATCCACCAAGACAGTGTCAAGAGGCAATTAAGGGTCCTTAGACCCAACGAATACCAGGTCTAGAGGAGAAATGTGACCCTTCCACTGACAAGGTACCACTTACAGTCCGGTCTGTGAATGGAAGGACCGTCTGGTTCATGTGAGCTGGAACAAAGACATGGAGCCTATCACATATTGGGCATTTTTTTTAACATAACTCCTTTTCTCAGAGCACTGTCATGAATTGGTTCAGGAGATGGAAGTCTATTGCCATCTGGTTGCCACTGTGGCAAAGCATTCTAAAAGTTTAACAAGGATGTGACTTTGGGCTATACTTGGGGATGACAGTGGGTTATTCTATTAGATCCCTCCGTGGAGACTGGAAATTTTGATTGATGTTTGATGTTGGCCTTCATTTTTTGTCATTAAGCCATGTCCTGTCCCCATTCAAGTACTTGTTGGGATATCCACTGTGCCTTATTAACCAGTGCCTGCAACCAGATACTCAGAAGGCATCTCTCCAATATTAGCAAGGCTTAGCACTAAAGTGACTCACACTATCCCTGGATAGCTCAGCCTCTGGCCTCAGGAGAAGGACGCTCTGGTCTACAGCACAAATGCTACACAGGGAACCTGGTGCAGCCTGCAAATGGAGACGGACCGCCGATCCTGGGAGAGCCACTGCGTCTGAGAAGCCAAGCTTCACCTGAAACAGCAGAAGAAAGAGGAACTGAAGACATTGGCAGAGGAAGGAAAGGGGAGACTGTGGCTACTGGATTCTACTGGACATCCATTGCCAATTTGCAGTTAATTAGCTACCCTCCAACCTACCTGCCCCCTTATGTTTTGTGCACTACTTACATGGTTCCTGAAGCACTTGGAGACTTTCAGAGTGAAGGTGTCGGCTGCCACTTGTCCCTCAGGGAAGGCGGTGTAAACAAAGATGGTAGCCATGGGTGAAATGAGGTCAATGGGCAGACTGACATTGAAAGCCCCACTAAACTGACCTGAAGCAAGAAGGAGAAATAGAAAAAGTATAGGAAGAGGCAAGGAAGTCTGTCTCCAAGGATTACAGCAGCAACATGCTCATCCTCTATAATACTTCTGTACAGTTACTTGGATAGAAACTATTCTGCCTTGCTTCTGGGGAGGCCACAGCTAGACCAGCATGTAGGTTAGTGCCATTTTGTAGCAGTGACCTTACATCATGAGGAATTTTGGCAACAGTGTGCACTTGGAAGATAAATGACTTTCCACCTGTATCCAGAAAAATGATTCTGTGAGTTTTTTTGGAGGTGTCTGATAATTCCTGTTTGGCAGATGAACTCTGACAATTTCATCATTTGATCAGAAAAAAAAATAGGGAAATTAAAAGACAGAAGAGAGAGCATATTTGCCATTTCCTCTTGATTTTTTGTGCCAGCTCTGTTGTTTCCTGTTGGTCTCAGATCTCTTTTCTCTCCTTCCCCATTTAGGCTGGAAGGGCTTTCCTGTTGGGTCCTTAATCTGTTCCTGGTATTTAGACGCTCTTACCTAATGGTGGATCAAGAAGTACTGTTGTTTGGCCATGGTGCACAAGGGATCCTCTGGCCAAAACCTAAAGGGTAATGAACAGAGCAAAGGGTTGATAGTGCCTCTGCTCCATGTCTCTGGGCCAGCAAAGGGCCCTGTGCTGACATCACAGAGACCCATCCCAAAGCTGACCTTGTTGCTGGTGCTGCCCTGTACTCACCAGGTGGTAGAAGTCTGCTTTGGCAGCCCTGTCCCCCAGCTCTGTGGCTAGGATGCGATAGTGCACAGTGACCTGCTGCACGTCCCTGCAGGGCAGCATTGCCTGCACTGGCTGGATCCTCACAGAGCTGTGGCTGGAAGAGTAGAAGGCCCTCAGTGTGAGGGATGCAGTACCATAAGACACCCTCACATTTCGACTGCTTATGTCCTCCGGCTGGGTCTTTGCCTGCGATACAGAAAAGGAGGCTTGGTGTCTGAAGGTTTCTTACAGCTCTCCCCATGCCAAAACCAAGACTGACTGGACAGTGGGCTCTGAACTCTCCCAGGGTAAGGTGTCTATTTCCACTGAAACCAAGCTCAGTCAGCCCTTTCTGTGGAACCTGGCATTGCCTGTTCTATCACACTCTGGGCAGGCAGCTGCATACTACTAGGGCTTGGGCTAGAGCCTGAACTTCTACAATGCTGCTGCTACCCTGGGAGCAAGCCAGACCATTAGACTGTGTAGAGTGGCTTATTAGTCCCTGGATCAAACCACTGAACCCTTTGTTTCTGTCTGGTACGTGTGGGGAAAGTATCAGCATGGATCTGCCCTGATAATGTATTTCACTGTTCAGTGTTACTCCACTCACATGCTGTATTTCTTTTAGCACTTTCCCTGATCCATAGGGTAGAGGTGGCAGGGGACAACTGAAGATCAATAGCCTTGCTCATCTTTGACCTATGACGTATCTGCACTGAGACTATGATATTTATTTCTTGTGGACTTCCAGCAAGGTCAAGATCCATCATCTAAGATACTGTATGCACTTTGATAAAGAGACAGGGCTTGCCTCGAAGTGCCTTGACCTTGAAGTTTAGATAAGAGAGGTATTAGAAACTTACCCCTACAAACAGACAAGAGAGCCTTCCTTGTTCATGGGAAAGCAGATGCAAGCTTTTCTCTGTCAATTCCCTGTCAGTGGCATCCTCATTTAGTTCCTTACATCCTGGTTACCTGTTCTGCTCCAGATTGGCTTGCAGCAACTAGTTCCTTCCTTCTTTCTTTCCTAAATTTTCTGCCAGGTTTCTCCTAACTCTTATGCTATGAGGAAACATAATGCAAACTGGTCACTGACATTTTCTTCTCCACCTGTATTTTCAGATGCTTCTTCCCTAGCTCCTTTTCTATCTTCCCGGTCCGTATCATGTGGGAGTTCTTCCTTTGGTCTCTGTGCCTGCTCACCTCAGACAGAGGTGCTATGTAAGTAGACCTCAGTCACAACTTCATGAGGCCTCTGTCCACTGCCCCATCTCTCATCATGTCTCCTGACTGCTCAGGGAGTGTGTGTGGCACCAGGGGCCAGAACGCTGGCTCTGCCATGGGCTGTTCCTCTTGCCCTAGATCTGTCATTTCACTGCTCCATGCCTCCATCTCCCTGGCTATACCAAGACAATGACATAGACTATCAGTCTGAGGGATGTATTGCTTAGTGCTAGACAAATCCAATCTAATTATTGGGCTTAACCTGTAGTACAACTTTACTGCTATTGTCCCATGCTGATGTCTCTAAGGTGAAAGAGGCCATCCCATTGTCATCCGTGAAGTAGGTCTTGGTCTGCTTCCTGCTACCATAGGACACTGTAAGAATCACCTCCTTGTTCTTCAGGTGTGTCCCATTGACACTTTTGAGTTCCAGCTGTAACGATGCAGAGAACAGTCAGAGAATTGGAGGCTTCAGGATTGAAAACCTACCTGCCAGTAGAAGTCTTAGTTCCCCTCTCTGTAAAGTAACTCTCAGCATGAACTCTAACTCCTCCAACCCCTCCCTATTTATGCAGCAGCCATCTCATCTGGCAAAGCCATGTGCTTATCTTGTGGTCACACCTTTGGATTACATCTTGGTAGAGATGTCAAAGGAGAGGCTGGGACAGAGAACTGTGCTAGCAGCTTTGGGCAGCTCAGAACAAGGGGACACCTCAGTACTTCTGTACCCGCCATCCCCTCAGGCCCAGCTGCTGGGCTTTCCATGTTTCTGCCCTGTTCGCTTACATTTCCATAGTAGGGAGCTCCTTGCTGATAGTAGTAGCTTGTCCCCCAGAACTGGAGAGTTGTGATATCAAAAGTGACCTTGCAGTTTTCAGTGGCGTTGAACTCCACCCCTGGGAAAGACAGGGGGTGCACGCAGGTGAGTATCATGTGTCTGAGCAAAGGCAGCAAGACTGGATGGACTGAGGTAAGGGATGGACTCATAGGGGACCGTAGTTTCTCTGTGTAACTTCAGGAGTCATTTAATACGGACACACTTGGCAATAGTGCCTCCTACGTTCTGACCTGCTAGAATGACAGGAAGCCTCTGCCAGACAGTTCTCAAATGCTCTTTCTGACTTTAAGATGGTCCTATTCATAATTGTCCGCTTCCATTCTCCTCCCATTCTCACAGCAGGATCACTATAAGGCAACATTTTTCCTTGCCTTCATCGCGTTAGTTTACAGTCTGCTGTCTAGTCGTGTGGTGCCCATCTGAAATCACTGCAGTTGTTTGCTAAGTGAATGTGTGTCACTGCTTTCAGCAAGGGGCTGCAAAACATTTTCTTGTAAGGAAGGGTTTGTAAAATTTTGTGAGAGAGGAAACCTTACAGGATGGGATATTTAACAGTAGCTCTGGACAAGTAGCCTCATCTCCTATCTGGGATGTTGCGATATATCTGATGAGGGGCTATTAACAGTATAGAGTCAGGGCCTTGGTGACACTGGTTGCTCTGAGTATCTCCTCATTCCAATGGACTTTCCTAAAGTATGGTTTAAGAACAAAAGAACCTGGCCTGGCCCACCTCTGTGCACATTTCTTTAGAAGATGAGAAAAAGCAGCTCTTGGCCATCTCTGCCAAACCAAGGTGACTACCAGAGCTGGACTGGTCACAACAGCTTGTGGATGAGCAAGCATACTGGCAAAGCCCATCATGCAACTGGGAGAACTCACATGTCCTTTGTGAGTCAGACCGGGGTGGTATGGTACACGAGAACATCCATGCTGCCATGGTGCTCCCAGGGAAGACACAACCCTCTGAACACTTGACCCCACAGGAGCCAGTGCAGAAAGCACCAGTGGTTTGATGGGAAAACACAAGGATCCATAAGGAGTCTTACAGATGAAAACCCAAAGACAAGCATGTTTATAAGTGTAAAGTAAAAGATTTTCCACAAATTGTAGAATCAGTTTTTGCTACCTGTTCCACTTTCTTTCAGAAAAGCCACGGCTTCCAGGTTGAAATCATGATTGTCACCACGCTTCTGGTGGAAGATCTTAATATCCACCTCAGCGGCAAAGCAGCCATCCTCGTTTGTCTGGGGATGTGAAATTGTATCTGTTAACCAATCATGAATGCACTAATCCCTTCTGCAGTGCAGATCAAGCCCAAGGTCCATAAGCCTAAAAGTACATGACTTAGACACTTGAGTTAAAGGAGCAACTCCCATACTGGCATGAAACGCACTTCTTTTCTGCGGAGCAGTCACTAATAGGAGATGCTGTTTCATGCATGTCTCATCTTTACACACTCACTCATGTGCTAGTAGCAAACATGAGTTGTCATTTCTTCCTGACAACATGATTTCTTCTGCTACGGCAGGATTTATCCTTAAGATTTCTGTTACTTGAAAATATGTAAACAAATATAGATACATTCATTGAGCCCTAGAGATGAATGAGTAAATTCTGTGCTGAACTGCAATTGCTTGCTTAGATGCAAGAGGTAATTTCTGTATCTGT